CCGCAAGGGGTACTTACTGCCTTGTGAGGCTCCTTCACCTGAGGCAGCTTCAGTGTCTGCAAAGAGAAAGAGCCGCGCTTAGATGTGACAGCTGCCCCGGACAGACCGCTCTGCCCGGCCCCGGCCTCCCTGCCCCGGCGGGACGGGCTGTGCGGGCTCACGGCCCTTCCCGGGCAGCCTGCGGGGCCAGCTGGGCCACCCCAAGGGCTGTTAGTTAAACGCAGCAGCCCCCAGCCCTGAGAAAGGGCCCCCAGAGCTGGAGCTCTTCTTGCCCACGCTGTCACAGGGGCCTGGAGTCAAAACGGGGTGGCTACAAGGAAGGTCCCTGCCCCAGCCCTGCACCAGGCTTGGAACCTGCTCCCAGGAGTTGCAGGGCCCCAGGCCTGGGAGCCCCCGGGGCTGCGGGGGGAGCGGGAGCAGCGCTGCCCGGCCCGGAGCTGCCTCGGGGTGACCTCAGAGCACAGACGGGACCGGCACATCCCAGCGGTCCCGCGGTCATTAACTGAGTGTGCAAGGATGAGATCTGCAGTTTCTACTCAATGCTGAAATCGCTCACGCGCACCCGGCTCGGCCTCCCACGGGAGGGGCACAGCAAAGCCCCTACAAGAGATGGACCATGAGAACCCGACCCTGGGGCTGTTATTCTATCCTGGTCTTCCTGAAGGCCCATGTGAAACGATGGGAGAAAAAGCTCCCTCCAGCCTAACACGTGGGACCGCAAGAGGCACACAGCAAAGATCATGTCGGAGCCCTAAATGAATGCAATGGGCAAAGCTGCAAGCTGGAAAACAAAACCCAGTGTTACAAGTCAAGGATCATAAATGGTTAGGGTTGCCAAGCCATTTTGAAGTGTTTCATATTCATCCCAAATTGCATATACTGTATGTCACATTATCTAATAACACAACTACGTTTGAAAACATTCCGTATGTCCCGTGGAATCACGTTTGAGCTGCTCTGGAAACCACAGCTGCAGAATGTCACAGCATTTCTGAATTCAGAATTTGCAACCTGAAGTAATGAACACTGTATGCACTTAATTTCCTTACTTCTTAAAAATAATAAAAACAAATGACTGCGGGTTTGTGAATTTGTACATTTCTACTTGATTAACCTGCCTGATTAGATCACTTTTCTAGGCAATGATACTAATTTGGCACAACTTCATAAACTGAGGGGCCAGGATCTGAAACCCTCAGTATCATATACAAAACCTCGACAGTCAAACAAACTCCTGTATTTTTTCCACAGCTGCTACTTGTTCGAATTACCACCGATCACTCAAGGAAAAAGCTAGCTGTGGCACAATGGAGTTCTGCAAATGCTGTCCTGGCGTTCACAGGCAACAGCATAAATAAACCATCAAATATATGTACTAGGCATGCACCAGGCCATTTCTGTTATTTAAATAGCTTTAAAAAGTACTTTGGTCAAACTTAAAAAGAATAAAGAAGACACAAAGGTTTAAGAAGCAGCTGTTTCTGAACTGTGTTAAGAAATGTTTACTCTTTGTCATAAGACAGACCAAAGTCTTAACGCATTTAAAAAACCACTAAAATTCCCCTAACAGCCCACTCTAAATCACCTTTGGGCTGAGACCAAGTAATTACAGCTTTAAAACACAAGACCAATTTCTGAGAAAGTTGCAAAAGTAAGTGAGAGCAGGGAGGTCGGTGGGAAAGCTGGAAAAGAGGTAAGTTAACTCCTGAGTCTCAAGTAACTTTCTGCATCTTCTATAAAAATCTGCTGCAGATTATACACAGTAAAAAAAAGGATGCTTGGGATGCAGCACAGAGGGGAAGGGACCCACCAATCCTGTGATTTTTCAGCAGCAGATAATTATACAAATGAAACTCAACTTTCTTCAGCTCTGAAACACCATCTCCCCTCAGGAATGACTGTTTCACTATTAATTTTCAACTTCTCACCTCAAAATTGTTTCAGTCAAAGAACTGCTCAAACTCAGACTCTAAAAATGTGCACTTTGGAAAAATGCTTTTTTTCCACGTTCCAAGTTTGAACAAGTCATCTTCCTTTCTGTATTTTTGGAATCGAGCAGAACCCTTTTGTGGAAACTATTAATATGAAGCTTGAAAAGCTTTGAGAAGTTTTTCAACAGTTAGTTAAACTAGAAACTTTTCTGAAAAAAATCCTGCTCTAGAGCATTCAGCATCTCTTCAGATGATGGCAGCTCAGCCCCCAGCCTGGCACACCCATGCAGGAGGGTAACAGAGAGCTGATGGGTTCAGGGGAAGGCAATGCAGCAACTAAATAATGTAAATAAATAATAAAGGAAAACAACTGGAGCAAAATCATCATTCAGCACAGAAAAGCTTATCTGGAAACAGAGAACTTCCACCAATTATGAGGACAGAGGTGACATATCCTGCAAGGGTTAAACTTGCTGTTTTCTTGCATTTGCTTTCTGAAGAATTCTCCTTTGGGTAAAAGTCTCCCTTTCTTGGCCTCAGCCCAAAAGTTTTTAAATTTACTTTTTAAAAGTCTAATAAAGTCATTTCAGCCGTTTTGTTGGTTGTTTTTTTTTTGAGTTATATGAAAGTGAAGTAATTTTCCTGACTCAAAACATGCAGATGTTTTGCTGCTCACGCTGCTTAAAGATGACCCAACACACGAACCAAAACTTTCTAGCTGACTAAGTCCTGAAGGGAATCCAACCCTTTGAATGACTTGAAAAAACCCACAGGGCTACACAAAAAGCCCTGTAAGCCACAGATTTCTAAGGCCTAGGCTGCAGGCGAAGCCTTAACACTTGCCAGCACCAATGGCTGGGACTGAACCTTCCACTGCCACCAGGAATGTGCAGCCTTTCTGCTCCAGCCCAACTCCAGAAGCTCTGCAGGAGGAAGGAGCTGTGATCCTGCAGGGCTGCACAACAGCTTACAAAGGAGCCTCTGAGCTCGACAACATGACTTTTTTTTTTTTTGTTGGGTTTCTTTCTTATTTTATTTGTGCATTTCAGGAGGGCGAAGGGGAAGGCAGGCAACCTTTGCAGCTCTTCCCTGACAGAACATAGTGAGTAAATTTCTTACCTACGTTTCTGATTCTTTGCAGAACTCTTTACAGGGGGGTTTCCGTGCCTGCATCTCAGCTTCCAGAGCAAAGCAGAAAGGGAGCCTGCCCCTGTGACGCAGCACAGCTTGAACAAGAGATGCCTCAACCTGCACCTGCAAACTGCCAGGACATCAGTTGCTCCCTGAAATTCTCCAGCCAATGCTGAGCACCACAGGGAAAGCTCAAGAAAATGCCCTGTTCTCCAATAAGAAATCACCCATTCCTGGAGGCAGACAAGAAGAAAAATACACCTGAGGAAGACAGTCACCTCCAACACACCTTCTCTGCCATGGAGATCTAGAGAGGAGGCAGGTGCAGATACAAAAATAAATCTAAGAAATTCCTCCCAAAAATGATCATTACAAAGAAAAATATAGTTTTTAACCTCTAGAGATCTTGCCAGTGTCAAAGTCGTAACATAGAGCTGAACAGCTCAAAGGATGAGAAGAAATTTAAGTTCTGCACAGGGCAATGACTGAAAAGCAAGGACCGACTGCAAGAGCAGAATGGGCAACAGACCTCCCACCTGTGCTGGACACGAGCTGTAAGCCCCTATCTTACCTGCTGCAGTTCCAAATTGGACACTGAGGTGTACAAAAACCATTTAGAAAGAAGCCAGTTCAAAACAAGGATGACTTGGGACCTCCAAACCTCTCATCCCGGTGACAGAAGCTGTATCACTGAATGGTGACAGTGGGACAGGCTAGGCAGGTGGTGTTTTCCTTTTCTGTCCCAAACCAGATCAACACAATTACTACCTGCTCTCCCATGGGCTGAACCTTTTGCATCACCAGCTCTACCCATCTGCAGGACTGACCAACAGCTTGGCCAAGGACCATTAGTGACACAGGAACCACAGAAGAAAGCAGAGAGCTGTTCAAAGGGCAGGGGTGTATCCTTTGCTCCAGCTACTCTGATGCTGAGCTGGTGAGTTGATCCAGGATCAAGGAAAGGCAGATAGTAGGGGACTGAAGGGTGGCCCAGACCTCAAGGACATGGTGCCTGATGCTCGGAAAATGCATCAGGCAAAGAGGGAATGCCCGGTTCTGTCACTGCAACACAGTGGCCTTGCCTGGCCAAAAAGAAATTAATACAAGATTCAGGATCTGAGTTTCTGGCAGCTGAGAACTGCACAACATGGGACAAAGGAGCTGAATTTTCTGTGCTTTGAGGAGAAGCAGACCTGGAGAGGTGGCTTTGCCAGTGCCTTGGGATTTATCCAGGACATAGACTGAAGATACACAAGAACACGCAAAGTGCAGAATCCCAGTCTCATTGTGCCTGTAACCACCAACTTCTCTCACACTTGCTCTGATGGTGCAATATCAGCCCCTTCTACACGAAACCTTAAATCTTGTGACAACAAAAGCAGCTTTCACAAAAAAATTCTTGCAGTCCTGCAGTCTCAAAGTATTTCCAGCATTGTTACTGAACAGTTTGTTTGTGATTCTCACTGGATAATATCACACAGGGTTTTTCCTCCTCTCATTCTTCCTCTTTTTCCCCCTAACTCTATATTAGGTGGCACATTATTTCTCTGCAGACAGGGACACTCCCCAGACACTGCCAGCTCAGGCTGTTTCTGGGAGAACATTTACAGACCTGCACCAAGTTTCAGTTTCATTTCTTGTTGAGGAGTGTACATGAAGAAACATCTCATTTTGGTTTTTATTGTCTTAAGGCAATTCAAATGCACTTTGTTACTACTATATGCATCTGTTTTCAGCAACACAAAACAATGTTTTCAGTTTCACATATATAAATTGTGCTTCTCTGCCACTGACATGAAAATTACTACTTCTACATTCAAGACTTGGAGAATTTCAGTCTTCTATAGCTACACCTGACAGAGGTTTTGGAAGCAAAAGTCATGTCTCCACTGAGTTAATGACAAAAAAATGGGTTATCAATTGTACATGCCTATGTTGATGCATTCAGACCATTTAATATATAGCTGGATTTCATGATCAAAATATAAATAAATGTATCAATACAAATCAACTGAATCACACACTTGGATCACACCTCACTTGGAGGTGACCTCATACTAATGAAGCTCCTAAAATTCAAAAAAAATTAAGGATCCCATCGTGCTTGGGGAAGAGAAGTAAAATAAAGCAATCCTTGTCCCAACTCTAAATACTGCAATGATTACTGCAAAATTACTCCAATGCTCTGATGCAATGGCAAAGCATTCTGCATGTCAGCAAATAACTGCTGCTCACTGTTATTTTATGGATTATTTTTCTTAAACTGCAAAGTGAAGCTGCTTTGTAGCCACATTTCAAGGACTTTCAGGAATTTTGTTGGTATTTAGAAAGGAATACGAGCACTGAAAGACAATTCTGCATGTATGTAAGGGCACAGAAGGAGGTCTGTGATGTTAAACAGCACATGAGAAACAGGCACCCGTGCAAGTAAAGGATGTTATTATGAGACTGTGAAAAAGCTAGGGATGCATGTTCACTTTTCAGCTGTGCAGCTGCTGACTTCTGAGAGTTAAAATTTAATATTGCATTAGTCTTCATCATTCCTGGATTTTCCAACTTTTCACTGGGAGTTTCCTTTACACCCTGTTAGACATTCACTTTACTGAAGATCGCAGTGATAGAATCATAGAATCATAGAATCCTAGGGATTGGAAGGGACCTTGAAAGATCATCTAGTCCAACCCCCCTGCCAGAGCAGGGTCACCTAGAGTACATCACACAGGAACGCATCCAGGTGGGTTTTGAATGTCTCCAGTGAAGGAGACTCCACAACTTCCCTGGGCAGCCTGTCCCAGTGCTCAGTGATACTGCCAGTTAAAACTGGGGAGCTACAGCAGATGTTCCTACAAGTCTGCTATAGAGACTTCAGTGCTGAACTCAGGTGAAAGGAAATAAAACCAAGTCCCTGTTCTGTTATTTCTCCAAATTACACAAACTACACTAATTGTACAAATCACCAAGCAGAACTTTCACATTTCTGCAATTAAGCAACATCAAACTGGCCAGTCTTACAGAAAATCCAAATCAAGTCACTCCTGACTAAGCAGGAGATATTTCATACAAACAATACATTTGGACAGTGACCTCAACTGACAGCAGGGGTACAGGGGTGAGCTCAAGTATCATTTTGATTTTAACACAAAAATACAGCAATATAGCAATGCCAATATCTGACCTGATGTCCTCCCATCCTGACTTAACAGGGATGGACTAGAGCACCCAGCTGGGCAGGAGCGTGGAGCACCTCGGGGAGATCTACACTTGGTATCTGCCAGGAGAAACTTGATGATTTGCAGCTCTCCCAACACACAGCAATGCCCCCAGAGAGCCCCCAGGCAGGAAATACTGCACTGAACACAAAAGCTGCTCCTGCCCTCAGAAGAAATAGTACTAGAGTAGAGAGACACAAAGACAGCCTCAAGATTTATCCTATCCACCCACAAGAAGCATTCTTGATGGGCAGAGAAGCAGCAGAGCAATCTTTTAAGACCTTCCCAAAAATAGTCCCCCAACTCCAAAGTTGCCCCAGGATTCCCAAAGATTTGAGCAGGAGTGAGATACCTCTGTGTGCTCGCACGTGGGTCTGGAAACAGTTGTAATACTTGTATTTCTTCCCACATATTCCACACTCGTAAGACCCTGAAAAAAAGAAGACAGAAAAGCACACATCACCATATTAGATCATGAAAAACAACCTCACCACAAACTCATCCATAAACTGGGGACAAAAGAACGCAGTTTGCAGCAAAGTAATTTTTGGAAGGTTCTTGGAGATAAATGCAGGAAATCACTATTCCATACTCAATTCTTTTTTCAGTCTTATTTAAGATTCCTTGGCATATTACCCTGAACTTACTTTTTTGTACATCTTTATAACTTTGCTAACATGAAAGGGCCACTCTTAAAATAGCCTGACTTATAATTTTATAATAATGAATAATATTTCCAAAGGACGGAAATAACCTTGAATTACTTTTCAGTAAGTTCCTAGGATATGGGAAAAAAAGCTTTTTGACTGAAAAAAGAAGGCAATATGTTATCTTGAGGCAAGGAGTTTTCAAAATTTCTCAAGAAATGCACAAAGTACAAATTTTCCAAGAAACCCACAGAGATTTGGTAAATATCCACCCAGAGGAAACCAAAAAGATACAAATAGAACTTTTGCCCTTTTAAAGGAAAAGCACATGACCACAGCAGTCTCTCTTCTCAATTTGTGTCTCTTAATTCCAGTCATTTGAAATGAAACCAGAGAAACAGAGCTGGGAGAATAATTTTTTAATTATGAAATTATGCAATGAATTTAGTTGCTTCTGTTTATTGGACAGGCAGGCAGAAATTTCCTCAGATTGGTCATTTAAGTTAAATTCGACCTTTTTTCCCCACTCCAACGTGGTGAACAGGCTATACATTTAGTTTTAAGCTCTCATTTGCAAAAAGCATTGTGTTTCTTAGCTGCCCATCAGCAGTTAAGTAACTGTGATCCCAGCTGTGCTCCTCAGCAGGGTGAGAGCTCCGCTGACTGGGACAGGGGCTGAACATGACCTGGTGTGCACACAGCATTTCATTTCCATGGGTGCTTCCTCACAACCTGGAAACAATTATTCCTTACCATGCAAAACAGTTAACCTCAGAGATGAGCCACAAGCAAGAACAAAACATTCACACACACCCCCCAGGAAATATTCCCAAATACCATTTTCCCACAACACTTACCCAGTGCTCCTCAGAGTGAGCTCTTTCCAGGAACAAAACCACCTGTACTTTTTGAGCACGCTAAGCCCGTGTTCTGTTTTTCCCTTCCCAGGCCATATTGCTTACAGCTTTTAAGAAAACAACCCTCCACCCAGTTGGCAACAGGGCTGAATTCCCTGTCCCTCGCTGTTAGCATCACTTGGGATTGTCCTTTGAGCCTGGGAAGCTACTTTGTCACTGATGCTGAAAGAAGCATTTTGCTACAGCCTGATACACAAGACTACACATCTGAAAAAATACTCTAAAATACTGGTATTACAGCCAGTTGATGATGTCTGATCTGCTCTGTAGCCTTTTAATTATTGTAGGCAATTGTATTTTATATATAGATACACATATCTACATCAAGAGAGGTGTAGCCAGCAGGTTGAGGGAGGTGATTCTCCTATTCCACCCTCCTGAGACCCCAACCTGACTCTAGTTCTAGAGCCCCAATTACAAGAAAGATGGAACATGTGCAGAGAAGGGGCAGAAGAACGAGCACAGGGCTGGAGCACCTCTTCTATGAAGACAGACTGAGAGGGTGGGGTTATTCAGTCTGGAGAAGAGAAGGCTCTGAGGAGACTGTATTGTGGCCTTCCAGGATCTTAAGGGGGCCTACAAGAAAGCTGGTGAGGGACTTTTTAGGATGTGGTAGGACTAGGGGGAATGGATCAAATCTAGAGGTGGGTAGATTCAGATTAGACGTTAGGTAGAAGTTTTTCACCATGAGGATGATGAGACATTGGAACAGGTCACCCAGAGAGGTGGTGGAAGCCCCATCCCTGTAAGTTTTCAAGGGCAGATTGCATGGGACTTGGAGCAACCTGATCTAGAAGGAGGTGCCCCTGCCTATGGCAGGGGGTTGGAACTATATGATCTTTAAGGTCCCTTCCAACCCTAACAATTCCATGGGACCCATGGCCACTCCACAGGCTTTTCTCAGTGAGATCCTGGACATCAGCAAGTTGGCAGCACCTGCCAGCTCATCTGCCATTCTCCAGGACTGAGCATATTCATTGCCAACCTCCAAAACTCTGTCCTGAGAACATTTCCAGCTGAAGCCCAAAGCAGCAGGGCCAAAAGACGTGCTGACCATGGCTTGGGCTCTCCAGCACTGTCCCTGTGCCACCACTGAGGCTGGGCTGTTCCAGCAGCACGTTGGGACTGACACCCACCCTGGAGCAGCACTGCCTGCACAGGGAGCACTGGGAAAATGGGCAAGCAACAGTGAGGGGCTCGCTGAATTCTTCTTCCTCATTTTTTTTTATACTCCCTCTGGAGATGGTCTATGGCACCTAACTGCATTTGGTTATGCAGAAATTCCTGAAGAAGAAGATAACCTGTCCAGTGTCTGTGTTGTGCCTTCCCTCTCCAATGCAGAACCCAACTGCAGAAGGGGCTGTGCCTGGAAAACAAGGGCAGGAGCCAAAGGCAGAAGAGGGACCAGTGTGTCCTGTGGCTTTTGTGTGGATGTCCCGAAACACCCAGGACTCAAGTGTAACTTGGGGAAGGATGAAATAATCTCCTTCCAGGGGGTACTTCTACCTACCTCCTGCCTGGGGATGGCAGAGCACTGCCCCAGGAGGACAGCAGGTTTGTTTGGGTCTGAGGGAGGTGCACAACAGACCTGAAGTCCTGCAGGCACCACGGCAACTCAACAGCCACAACTGTGTACTCAGAATACCACGATTTTGGGAGGCAAAGGCATAGATACTCATATTAGAGAAAGGAAGGATGAGTGGCCACAATACATGTGTTATTAGGGTGGAGGAAAGATGAAGTGGGAAAAAAAATCACTACATGTTAAGGCCTTACAAAGAACATGCTTGTGTTGCCTTGAACACAGCCACCATGGTCAGGGTTTGTCTCAGACTTCATCCACATGTGTGTCATGCAGGTTAAAGCTGTTTGCCATAGGAGGGGAGATGGGGAAGGTTTTGGGTTAGTTGGTGCATTCAGTTCTACCAGGCTTCTCCTCAGTCTCGCAGCTGGAATTTGGGCAACACACCCACTGCATCCAGAGCTTTCCCTTGCTCCCTGATCCCTGCTCAGACTTTCACACCCTTCCATCACATACCAGACGTGTATCTCAATGCATGGTCAAAAATCCAGGTCCCTGAATATCGATTTCGAGTATATCCAACAGGAGAGCCACGTTCCACTGCTTTGCCATCTAAATTGTGCAAAAAAAAATAATCAAGAAAAGAGTCCTTAAAGTGGATGCATTTCCAAAGAATAATGGTGGCTGAAACCTACAAAAAATTTCCAAGAACCTTCTGTCCCTGTGGTTTGCTGGCAAGTTGTCACTGGTCACGAAGAGTTCCTTATGGCTTCGCCAGGACTATTTTATTTGGTGTAACTGGGGAGAATCCAAAGTGCTCTTGCACTACACGTGCTGAGCAGCTCAGCAACTGAGACATCAGCATCATGGCACAAATTAAGCCTGTCCATGTGAGTTTGACAGTCTCAAAGCAGAAGGATTCACTCTTCACTTTGTCTCAGAAACATTTCTGATTTAATGCATCACTGAAAAATTCTCTCCAAAATGTTTCTTGTAAAGGCATGGGCCAGAGTGAGACCTTAAATATTCTCATATAAAACTTCTCATCATCAACTTGCAGATAACTCAGTCCTCCAAAACACAAACACTGACCTGATGATATTCCCAGCATTAGAAAATCATCTACATCAGTCAAACAGTGTCTCCCTCTTTCTCTCTGATTTACAACACAAGTGCCATTTTCTTTTCCTCTCCTTTCTAGACAGGTGCACGATGGACCTGTGTGCCTTTCTGCCCTGACACCCCTGCCCTCTGAATTGTTCATGTGCTCGAGATCTTTGAATGAACCCTGGCCCAAAGCCAGCATGTGAAGCTAGCAAGGAAAGAGAAGAAAATAACAGGAAATATTGCATCGTGGAGCTGGGCAGTGCCAGGAACACATCCCTGAGAGCCAGTGGGTCCCTGAGGGGTCAGGTCTGTAGAGAGGGAAGAGCAGGATCCGCAGCAGCAGATCCTGAGCCAGACCCAGGTTTAGAGCCAACCTCTCCGCTGGCTTCCTTTGCCTGGGATTCCCAAAGGAGGGACCCAGAGGACTTGCAAGACTTCTGCTGAAAGCAGATGAAAGGGAAATGGTCCAAATTCACCAACACCAGCCCTCTGGCTGGGCAGCTGCAGCCACTGCCTCCACCCATCCTGCTTTGCTGCAGATTTGGGTCGCTCCACATGGAGGAGTCTAGAACAGTCCCAAGTGCAGGGAGAAACTTGTAACCAGCCAGGAGGCAGCACAACCAAGGCCTAATTTGATGAAAACACTACAAGTGAATAGCAGCAACTGAGCTAGGAATCCCTGTTATAAAATGCACCAGGTAGTAACTAAAAATACAAACACAGCACAATCCTGCAGGAGCTCTGTGACTCAGGAAAGAGACATCAATCTTCTGCTGCCTGTCTCAGCCAAGTCCTGGAGCTGAGCTCTGCAGGAGAGCTGTCACCTGGAGCCACCTGGGCCCTGAAGCCTGCAGCACTGTGGCCCCAGGTCAGATGACGACCATCACAACCCCCCATTTAACTGACCACCCTCAGCACACCATGAAAGGAGTGACCATCCACAGCGGGTGGCATTTCCATGTGAAGAAGAGGGATTCATTTACTCCAGATTCACCAATTCATCCTGCATCAGAAATTCTGATAAAAAAACCACCACTTTGGACACCTTCAATCACTGTTTCCTCAATGGAAGTGAATAAAACCCCACCAAAGCCCTGCCCTTCTGCACAGCTGCAGTGATCTAGATACCAGGCTACCAGATCACAGCACGAGAAAGGCTTCATGAAGAAAAAACTCCTGGAAGTACCAGTGAGCAGCAGCAGAGAGCACGAAGCCTTTGCTCTGGAGGTAGGAGGCACTGGGGCCTTCAGCTTCAGTTCCCAATCTTGGGCTGCTCCAGAGCAGCAGGGAAAGGTGCCAGGGAAGCAGCAGCCCAGGATGCTTCCCATGTGAGTTCCACAGCCAGCAGCAGCCAGGGCAGTGGTGCCTGCCTGGGGCTTCTGAGGGGACTGAGGGGACCAGAAGAATTGACTGGGAGCCAGTTTGAGAAACCACAAGGAACTGATACCTGGGCATTACGGCCAATCCGCACAGAGCACAGTCTTTGGTGGCCAAACAGGATGGTTATTCAGAGCCTCCTCCCCAACAAATAAGAGTTGAGGGAAGGGCAGATGAACGGGGGCACTTACAGGGCTCTTTTCACAAAGGAATCAGCTGCCAGCTGCCAACTGCCTCAGGCTGGTTTTAAAGAAACCCAGCACCAGGCCATAAAATAACAGAAAAACAAATGCGATGCACATTTCACTTGAAAAAGCCCTTCCAGACAGTTCTCTAGTTTACTTTCTATGGCTTTCAATCACTTGTTAACTAGTAAATAACTCTCTGTCCCTCTCTGGACAGTGCCTACACACTGAAGCCCTCACTCCAGCCTGTCCCCAGTGCTGTCCATAGGTGCAACATGTTGGTGCACATCCAAGCTGGCAAGCAGCAAAAGCTGCTCCTCACTCTGCATAACAACATAATCAACCTCCACTAGAAACCACCACTTTCAGAGGACATCATATGCAGAGCAGAAGCCACGAGGAGTTCTGATCTGCATATGTGTTCATCAAGTGTTCACCGCTGGTGACCAGAGCTGAAGGAGAACATCCTGTTGCCTGGTATCAGCAGTCATCTCTCCAGCCATCCCTCCTGGGGTGCCAGGGTCACCTCTCATTTCAGGGTCACCCATGCAGTGACCAATTCTCCCATGAGCTGTGGGGACACAAAAGCTCTGTCCTCCAAATTTTAGGATCTTTAAGTTGGAACTACTTATGGATCTCCTAGGCTTTCCCTAGATGTTTTGACCCTGCATAAATAGCAGTGACCTCCCACTGCCATACTTAGTGGCTAACTTACTAGGGAAGAGAGGTCAGGCAGGACAACAATGTTCCTAAGACAATCACCAGCTAACAACATCCTCCAGGGATTTTTTCCAACAGTGTGGACAATGATCAAGCAAATATCAGGAGAAAATCCAACACCAATACTTCTTTTTTCTCCTTGCTACAAGACAAACCAACCCCAACAGCAATGCTGGGCAGCTCAAATTAACTTTGTCCCAAGTTCCTTGAAGGAAACATGATGCAACTGCTCTTTTTAATTTGTATTAGCAACTGCCTTTGGCTCTCAAAGTCACTGCTGGGACCTGCTCCACATTGGAGACAACAGAGGAGTCCCTTTAGCAAGAGTGGTGCCTCTCCAGGAGCCCACAGAAAGCCCTTTCTCTGATGCTAAAAGGAAAGAAAAAGCCTCTTTGCATGACTGCTGGAGGTGGGGGTGGGGTAGGTAGTCCTGTTTTGGAAGTAGCACACCACAGCCAGCCAGAGTCAGAATTCTTCCCACAACATTATTAGTGATCAGAAAAACAAACAAATAGCAACCTGCACAACCTGTTTCTCAGCAAAATCTAATTACTCACATAAAGCATCCACTCCCCTCAAAGGAACTTTCCTCAAAGTATTTCATCTTTTTCTCAAGACTTTCACCCTGATTGCCTTCTCATCTATGCCCTGTACACCCACCACCAGCCCTGGGTTCACCATGAGTTGAGCACATGACTAATGGGAGACTCATTTCACATGTCAAGAGAAGATACTAAGCTTTTTCTTACAGCTACTGTGATCTTGGTCTAGTCTTCAGGGGTGACCAGATACTAATAGCAAAAATTAAGGAAGGTAAATAATCCTGAGCCAAGGCCCTGAGATTGAGGAGCACCTTGGCTCTGCTCCCTCTGGGTGAGCAGAGCTTCCAGGAACAGCCCTCTGGAGCTTTGTTCCTCTCCCCAGCAGCAGGGACCTGGGGAACCCACTGATGGGAGCGTTACCCCCTCACCTACCGAGCGTCTGCTGGTTGCGGACCCCCCCTATGACCACACAGATCTCAGCAGGCACATCTCCTGGCCCATCCTTTATGTTCTTCTTGGAATCTTTGGTGTCATCCTGCCAGATCACCTCTTCGATGTAGTCATCTGGTACCTCTGTTTTCACTTTCACCTCTGTCATCATTCCAGCCTCTTCACTGGGCGAGGACTGAGATGTTGCTGAATCCGAGCCCTCCGCCTTCGGGCTCCGCGGGCTCCGCTTCAAACACTCCCTGAATGGGGGAAAAAAGAGAAAACGTGAGTTCTCAATGTCAGGTTCTCACTTTCTCATTACTAGTACCTAATTAAAGCTGCTTTTGTTAAATGCAGTTTATTTGGAGTAAGTATGGCTAGCTGTGTGTCTGTGATATATGGCAAGTAAACAAAATTTAACCAGAAAAAAGTAATAAAACTATTTGCTAGCAATGAAAATAACCTTAATCATCACAAACAACAGCAGCAGTCATCAGCACTGAGCCACTAACCGAGATCACAAAATTCCACCTGGCTGCTAGCAGGCCTGGAGCACAACTCCAGCAGTCCTGACATCCAATATTATGCCAAGACAAGCTCATACATGCTGAGGAAACACCACATCCTCCTGACACTGGAGCTATCCCCACGCTTGTGCACTTCTCCATAGGTTAATCTACCATCACATCTTCTCCTTCAACCCTTCAAAACAACCTATGACCTTATTTAACACATACAGTGATGATCAAATGGGATAATATATAATATATTGATATTCTGGGGGAATATTATGTTATGGACAGATACCAGTATCAAAGATGACAGGGAAACTTGACAGATGGGGAAAGGGAAGACAGGAGTGGCCCAGTGTCTTGAGAAACAGATGAAGGAAACAGTATGTGTTTTCATCCTGGAAAGAGAAAGCTGGAAATTCTTGGGAGAAAACACTCTAAATAAATAAATATTCAAAAACCGTTAAGAAAAGGAAAAGAACTGGACACCCCAGTGGTGCAAAACAACATCAACAAGTGCTCTGGTGGCAAAAGGCAGAAGGATTTTGAGCACAACAGATGAGGACCAGGCAATAAGCCAGTGCAGCTCCTTTTCCAAATGTTCCAACCCACCACTCATTACAGGCTCCCTGTTTTTAAGACTGGTTATTAATAAATTCTAATATGAAATGCAAAAATAAAATAATTGCTGGTTCAATCTGCAGAAATCAGAACTAAATATATAACAATAGCTTAGGCTACCTAGAAACAGGTATTTTAAAGACTGTGACATATTTAGAGTCATGGAAACACTTGGAACAGCTGAAGGTATTTGAAAATGTTTTAAGCAGAAGTAATAGGCAAAATTAAGTGAAAATCAGGCTGAACTTACAGCTGAGAATCACTAGACCATCCAAAAGCAAAAGAGAAGGAAATCCCATTGCTTAGAACATTGTAGAAAATCAGATAAAGTATGAATTAAAGTGTTAGCAAACTAACACATGCTGTGGTTTCTGCAACGGGTCAAGGAGCTGGTAGAGAAACCAAAATGCTGCAACTGGAGGCAGGAGTGTCCAGTGGGTAATCCTGGGAGGATGGAGATGAGAGGAGAACAATCTTCTGCAGTAATTACTGCACAACCTCCTATATGGACTTGTAGTTGCTATTTCAAAATGGGTCAGTCACATCGTATCACCAGATACTTTATTATTCATCCCTTCATTCTCATGATGGAATGATGGTACAATTAATGGCCCCTAAACAGTGAGAATTAGCCTTGACCTGCCTCCCCACTCATTCCCGTCCTCCTCAGACACACCCCTCCTCCTCATGCTCCCAAAATCATAAAGGGCTCTTACAAGGAAGAAAGATGAATTAAGATAGAGCAAATGTAGTTGAAAACTGGGCAGTTTTTATGGTAATATTATTGGATGCCCAAAAAGTCCATCAATCTCACCCGACAGCGGCGCGGCTCAGCCCAGGGAAAAGCCCAGGGAAAGCAGCAGCCAGGAGCAGGAGCACAGAACACTTGGCAATCAGAAAAGGCTGGGATTAATTGCAAATCAATCAAACTGAGAAGACATGAAATGCAAAACACTGATAAAGGCAGCAAAAGCCTTGGGGTGGAGGGAAAAAACATCCCTCCTTCGGTGTGGACAGTGGAGGAAGATTAAAATCAATCCAGTCTGATTCTCACTGGTAGGCAGGGAGATGAAAGCAGCCCGTGAAGGGCACCTCGAGTGAAGGCAAAACAACTCTGTTGCAGACAGTACAGCCACTTGCCAATCCTGGACAAAACAACATAAAAATCAACGCAGGAGCCAAGTGAGGCTAAAGATACAGCTTTCTGAGGAGATTATAACTGTGTAAGAATCACAGAATCATAGAATCGTCAAGGTTGGTAAAGGCCTTCAAGATCATCAAGTCCAACCATCTATCCTACAACCCCAAACCACTAAGCCATCTTATGAAACACCATGTCTACCCCTTTTTTGAACACCTCCAGGGATGGTGCCTCCACCGCCTCCCTGGGCAGCCTGTTCCAATGGTGCCTGGCTTTGCATTGTGCCACATCTGGATATAAAACACCCCAACATGGCATGGAGCAACCAACAGCCACAAGCTGCAAGGCAAAATGCTGCCCTCACTGTGCACTGCTCCTGGGCAGCGGCATTTCCACAGGGCTCCAGGAATGGTTGATGTGGGGCAAATGTATCAATGCTCTGGAATTAAATTTAACATTGCTGCTGCTAAAAATTACAGATGATCCATGGAGGGGTGGAGAGCAATGACTGTGAAAGGGACACCAGCAGTTGCAGTGCAGTCAGAAGTGTCCAGGAACAATGTGTGAACCCAAGAACAGCACCCAGGGTGCTCAGCCCTGATGCCAGCTGGCAGGTCACGCTGCAGGCACACAGAGCAAGGCTCTGACCTAGAGGACTAACACAATTTTCCAATACACACACCTGGGACTGAACAAGGAGGTGCTTTTCTCCCTGTATGAAGCCATGGTGAAGCCAATCCCCGTGTGCTGCTGACAGACTGAGAGCCCTTGTTTTTAAGAGGCACTGAGAAAAGCTGGAGAAGTTTCAAAAAAGAGGCACTGGAATGGTTTGAGACTGGGAAAAGATACTTCATGACTTTGCGAGACCAAACAACTTCATTTCTCGTGCCAAAAGGAAGAGCAGGAGATGATTTGATTGCAGTTTATTATCATCAGCACGGGGAGAAAATACTGTCTTCCCTTAATTTGGCAGGGAAGAGCAGAATACAAGCTCATTGCCGGAACCTTGGGCCAGCTGAAACGAGCCATAAAATATGAGCATGGATGGTGGTCCACGGGAACACCCGTTTTCCAAAGGATGTGCTCAGGGAGAACAAATCTTTCCAAGTCTTCAAGCCCCGAGTATCCGTATCTGGCTGATCCTGGATTACTGGGCTCTGTACACTGGCCACTCTTGGTGGCCTGAAGCTGTAGGAATATACAGATTATTAGACCAGGCTGAGGGATCCTCAAAAACCATTCTTCACACTCGCTGATTTTCTGAATCCAACTCTGCCAAGACAGTAACTTCCTGGCTGGGCTGTCTGCTCATAGGTGGGATCTACACCTGCAAATATTGAGAGCAGAACTATTGCCCTGGCGTTGCCCCATATGCAGTAAGCCTGAGCAGGTACTTGGTGTGCAGAAAGACACCAGCCCCAAATATTTTAGCCACTATCTTCTGCATGACTTCATACTACAGAAGCCCCAAAAGCAGCACGGGGTCCTCTCAAAAGCAAAATAAGCAAAACCACAAAAACCAGCATCACTGGATTTATACAACAATCTTACAACAATTTTACAACAAACACAGACTTTCTCTGTCTTTGGACAGTTTCTAGGAGAGGTGAAGGCAGCAGCCAGGTTACAGAGTGGGTACAATGGGGAGATGAACCCACAGCCCCACACTGCTACCTCCAGCACCACATGCAGGGCCAGGCACTGCCTGGTGACCTGCAGGGACATCTGTACAGCCCCGTGTCCTCCTCACACCCCAGGAAAGAGCCCTACAGTGCTGAAAAGGGAATAAATTACAAGCATTAAGGGATTTTTTCAGATTATATGAATCTATAAAAATACATACTAAAAAGTGTGTGGTTGTGGATGTACATACATGTACATATGCACATACACATCAGAAGGGTTGACCCTTGTGTCTCTGGCAGTGTCCCTCTTGTCACAGCCCCTGCTATCCCCTCCTGCCACGGCAGCCCCAGGACACACATTCTCTGCTGACACCCTGAGGTATCAGTGTTTTATTGCATGAGCCAGATCCTGTTTCACAGGGCCCAGGGCCCTGGTCTCAGGGCTGTGCAAGCCAGAATGCAGGAAACACCATCCAGCATTGGGCTGGAATCAGTCCCACACCACCTGGGCGCAGTTTCAGCTGCCTTTGCCATGGCCATTGCTGCTTTGCTCAAGAAGCAATGTTCTTCTGTCACTCATTATTTCATATATTGCAGAGATTTTCTAGTACTGGCTGATGTCAGGCCTTAGGCCAAACTTCAACTGCTGACTCTCTCCCGCTCAACGTCCACAGGAACATTCTGGCTTTGCAGAATACCTTTACTAAATGTAATCAAATAGCAACACAGTCCCAGCCTCCTTCCTCCTCTGGATGTGCTATGCAGGAGAGCCAGGAGACCATGATTACTTTATATGATCCATGAGAGGAGCATCACCAGCTGCTGATAACAGCAGATGAAGGTGATGGACCCCTCCTACCTTCCGTACTCATCAAAAGTATCACCTTCATCTGTATCCCCAAAGCCTGCAAAGCACTGAGGGAGCGACCACACAGGAGAACTTCTCTGAAGACTAGAAAACGAGATCCTGAAAGGTGATGGGATTAACTCAGTGGCCTCACTGACAAAGGAAGCTGTCCCCAGTGGCACAGCATCACAGCAACTGTCACTCACACGGTGACTGTCAAGTCATAGTTCAATCTCTCATTCTACTTGGATACCACGACCAGGAAGGTGGGTCCCTTTCCAGGCCAGGAGCAGAGGGCTGCTGGAGAGATGCTGCAGATGGCAGTATCCCTAGCTGAGCCCAGTCTGAGCAGGGCTGAGCTGTCAAAAAGCTCACCCAGTGCCTCCGCTGGGGACTCCATAGCTTTGGAGAGAAGAAGGCAGGAAT